ACATTCTGACCCAATATGCTATCAGCACCATCTCAAGGAAGTGATGGGATTTCAAATTCAGGGGGTCATAGGGCTTCCCTGGTGGTCCAGTGCCTAAGGCTCCACGCTACCAAAGCAGGGGGACCCCAAGTTCAGTCCCTGGTCAGGGAACTAGATCCCACATGCCACAACTACGGAGTTCACATACTGCAACTAAGAGGTCACACGCCACAACTAAGCACTCACATGTTGCAACTAAAATCCTGCATGCTGCAACTACAAGATTCTGCCTGCCACAAAGATGATCAAAGACCCCATGTGCCACAACTCAGACCTAACACAGCCAAATGAACAAATACTCAATAGAATAAAACAAAATTCAGAGAGTCAATTAGCTGACAAGCTTACATGTGTGCTTATAGTTTCTTAAATTTTGCTTTGGAATTATTTTTATAAGCATAATACTCTTAATCATGCTTTTATGCTTTAAGATTTTTATTTCAGTAAGATATAGCAGTAGAAAAGTAAGCTACAATCTTGAGATCCTATTTACCACTATACATACCTTGCTTTTTGGACAAGAAAAAATAATCCCTCTATCTGTGCAGCTTATTTGAATCATGGGCAACATTATTACATCCAATCCCTTTCCTTGTACTTGATATGAAAGTATGTACCTACCATCTTGAAAAGTGTAAACCTATAAAATGACAGCAAATTCCTTAAGACATCCAAGCAATTACCCTGGAAATTTAACCAGCATAAACTACTAAACTGGGTATCTCAGCAAAATAGTTTGATATTTTGTCCTCTACTTTAAAAAGGCATGCAAAAAACCCACAGAATGATGATGTACTCTTTTATGACATTAACAGCTGTATTCTAAGCTAAAAGCTGGGGCAGATGTGGGGTTCTATAAGGAAGGGTGGCAAACAGGCCTAGCCCTCCAGATTCCCTCCACTGGACAGATGAATGGCTGCAGTCACACCTCTATGTCCAACTTTAAAGTATTAGCCCATGTCTGCAATCTCATTAATGTGTTTCAAAGTGTACAAACAACATTTTCGAAGTGAATGTTTCCTGCCCAAATCAAGTAAATTTTTTTCTTCCTTTTTAAGTAAATTTGGTAACAGTATTTAGAAGCCAGAATTTAAAATGTATGCAGTATTTGGATAGCCAAACTAATTTTTAAAAATTTCAGTTCTTTGAAAGGAAAATGTAAGCAAAGGACACAAAGTGTTTTAACTGCCAGCATCTAGGGAGATCTCACATGCACATTCAGACTTGCCATCCTCCCTCTTAGGTGACAGTCGGCTGGACCTGAGTATGATGCCCACCTTACCCATGAGATCTGTTGCCACCTCTCAGATCTCCACAGCCCTGAAAGCAAGTCAGTGACTACTTGTTAAGGTGCTCTGTTCTGCTCCCTTTTCTTAGAGAGGAGGTAAGAAAACCCACCAGTGTGGGAAAGCAGCAGAGACAGGACAAAAGGGGGACAATAAATGAAAGTAAATAGTCTTGCATTAAATATGCAAATAGTGTTGTGAAAGTCACTCAAAATGTCTAAAAAACAATTCAGTTCAGTTCAGTCACTCAATCGTGGTCCGACTCTTTGAGACCCCTATGAACTGCAGCACGCCAGGCCTCCCTGTCCATCACCAACTCCCAGAGTCCACCCAAACTCATGTCCATCGAGTTGGTGATGCCATCCAACCATCTCATCCTCTGTCGTCCCCTTCTCCTCCTGCCTTCAATCTTTCCCAGCATCAGGATGTTTTCAAATGAGTCAGTTCTTCGCATGAGGTGGCCAAAATATTGGGAGTTTCAGCTTAAGCATCAGTCCTTCCAATGAACACTCAGGACTGATCTCCTTTAGGATGGACTGGTTGGATCTCCTTGCAGTCCAAGGGCCTCTCAAGAGTCTTCTCCAACACCACAGTTCAAAAGCATCAATTCTTCTGTACTCAGCTTTCTTCACAGTCCAATTCTCACATCCATACATGACCACTGGAAAAACCACAGTCTTGACTATACAGACCTTTGTTGGCAAAGTGATGTCTCTGCTTTTTAATATGCTGTCTGGGTTGGTCATAGCTTTCCTTCCAAGGAGCAAGCATCTCTTAATTTCATGGCTGCAGTCACCATTCCACTATAAAATAAACTCATGGCTTGCTTCACTGATTCACATTATACATGTAATTCCTATATGCGTTTTATATCACTGATTCACATTATACATGTAATTCCTATATGTGTTTTATATCACTGACTTCAAATTTAAATTTTTAGAAGTATTTTTGGGAAAAACCTACCTTATTTGATTTCATTGTTCATTAATCCCTCTAGTTACAAAAGAACTATAACACAGACTCAAACTGATCATTTAAATATTTTGTCAAATTCTAGAAAAAGAATATCTAGATTAAATGAGGTAGTATTTTCTCTGTGCACTATACCTAACAAAGTTCATATGAGTAATTGACTGGGGGTCTTGAGAGCAGAAGTAATGTGACTTTTCAGAAATGGAGTCTTCAATGGGCTCAATTTGCCAGATAAATGTTCTAACCTCCTGGGGAGTCCTAGGTTTATAGCTTAAAAACTGACAGCATATACTTAAGTCCCTATCAGTTCAGTCCCTATCACTTAACATCAAAGATAATGCTAATGTCCTATATGGACCCCAAGATTATACAGGACTGTTCCAAGAAAAGCCTTTCTTATACACAAAAGCTTATGTTTTTAACAGCGCACACAAAAAAAGAGGCTATCTGATCAAAGACTATAATTTAGAATGAATCCTAACTGGGCCATCATTTTGTCAAGTTAATAAAAATTATTTTAAATCAATAAAATCTAGAACTATACTTCAAAGACTAAATCTTCTGTTCTTAAATTCAGAAGGAAAACAGTACAGGTTTTAAAAATAAGCTGCTGTAATCAGAACATTGTAAGTTAACAACTAAAATGGGTAGAAAGTATTTTAAGAGACATGCAAAGGAATCATTCTTAGTTACAGTGTGCTGTCCCAGGCATCCAACCATTACAATCCCATCAATTTAAAATGAAACTGTGGCATAACAATTACTTGGTTTACAAAGAAGAGAGGTATGTAGTTTTCATGAGCTAAGGACTTACAGGAAGTGGATCTTCTACTTACCAAAGTATTAGCTGGTGTAGCACTGATTCCCACTCCAACTCTGGATATGCAGCCTGGCTAGCAAGTCTGACTCCACACTTGATGCCCCACGAAAAAGCTTGACGCCTCGTGCACCGTGTTGTCTCATTCTACACTTGACTGACATCATGACAATTCCCTGGCCTAATATGGTTCAGGAGTGTTTGGGTATGATATTCCCCACTATGAACCCTGTTCTAGCTGAACCAGAGCAGGGACCAGGCTGGAGTCCTATTTAAAGGACAGAGTCACTCCCTAGCTGGTGTGTCTAAGGACTCCCATTGGGAAACTGAGTATCTATTGTCTTCATTCCCAGGTCACCTTTAACAAATAACAGTTCTCTCTCTGGTAACTTTTAATTACTGAAGCTGGAAATGTACCACCATTTCAGTAAAAATTATAACCAACAGTTCCACACCATATCTACATCAAGAAGGACATTAGTCAAATGCTACCTGTACTAGAAAGCTCTAACAGATTGAGCAAGTAAAATTCATCAGGCTTGTAAGGATCTCAAGCATAATCTTATACTTCAGTCCCTATCTTCAAACTGAGTCTTTAAAGGATATAACATAACCTCATTTTATGAGCCAATGAAAAGCACAGAAGGGCTACTCACAGACCAAAAGAATAGTCTCATCCGAGGTCAATCCTTTTTCATTTGGTAACGACAACAATTCCACTCACAGAAAAGAGACTCTCAAAGTTCAAACGTTTAAAGTTTCATTAGAAAAATCATACATAAAATAAAAAATATGTTTATCAACAATAATGGTATTATTTCATTCAGCAGATTCATGCAAAACATGAGCGACAGTATAGAAATGACAATATAAAATCTCATACAACTAACTTATCTGGAGAACCAGTCCCTTAGAAGGCAACTGCAGTTCCATTTTTCCAAGCTCTCTTCTTAAGTTGAGGGTTTTCTGTAATTGGTTTTCCCTTTTCTCCAGAACAAGTTTAAAGATGCATGTCATTTTCCCATCACCAAGTACTTTATTTCCCAAAATGTTTAAACCAAGCACCTGATAACCAGGTGTATCTGTTGCTTCCGATTCTTTTATTTTGCTAAGGAATATGAAACTGCTTTGAAAGTCAATCCAAGATCACACCAAAGTTCTATTGTCCTTGGCTACTTGGCTCTTTGTCCTCGTCAGCTTCTTAGGAAGTATGAGTAACAGTCATCGGTAGCTGCACAACTGACATTATAATGAACACTTTTTTTTCCTCTTTGTAAAGTATGCCTATAGGTTCTACCTCCTCTCTGCCCACCCGGTGGCTCCACCTCCCTGATCAGATTTAGACTTGGGAGGAGGTTTTTGTTCCAAGTCTCTTAATTTCTTCTGTGATCAAAGTACACAAGTTTACTTAAGATTTTTCAAAAAGAAAGAAAAAAAGTCTTTTATTGTTTCAATGAGAAAATGCTGAAACCCCAAGAGAAGTTTACCACCTGTCCCAACTCCACTCCATCAAGGCTGCCAAGCAGCTTCCCGTCTGCTGTGACAGCAGTGATGGGATGCCCATCATCAACTACTTCAGACTGGGTCTTTTCACTGCTCGCTTTATTCCTAAAAAGCAAAAGCCTTTGTAATTAGACTAAATTCAGTTTCTGAAAGCGAAGGTATTTGTGTTGTTCCACTCTGTCTGGTTACATGCACAGGACAAAAGATAGGATGACTCATTTACCCTGAATAAAACGAGACAGTGACAACTAGGTTGATTAAAATATTCCTGTAGCTTAGAGAAATTAAAGCAAAGTGCAAGCTGGAACAGAGTTCTAAACATCTCCCGGGTGAAATTCAAACTATCGGAAAGAAGGTGAAGGGGCATTAATAGATAAAAACTATCGAGGTGGAAAGCCACCTCTGTGCGCGCCTCCACGGCCCCCCCTGAAGCCACCTCTTTCTCCTCGGAAGTTAGATCGATTTCTCTCTCGCCCACGGCCAGCAGAAGTGCCACCTCTTCCGCCTCCTCTGGGAGCTCCACCTCCTCGATCAGATTTAGATTTGGGAGGAGGTGATTTTGGTCGAAGTCTCTCAATTTCCTCTGTACATCCAGTCAAATAGGAATTCGGGGCACTGAAGTAGGATGCATACGTTTCTGCATTGTAGTTACTATTTGTAAGAGTTGGTCCAACTGTAAGCCACCCTGAAATGGAGGGAAGAAAGATTAACCTTTTTATCCCCCCCAATTCTCTTACTGATCTATAGGAGACATTTCAAATCTCCAGTGTATTTCTAAAGATGTCCCTATCACTTACCCAATATTGATATTTTACATAGAACAAGTGGCATTTAACTATGGTCTTTGATTTCATATATATATATTGTTTGCTTGTTTTGTTTTTCCTCTTAAACTGTAACTTTTATAATATAATCGTCATTTCCATCCATATTTCACATTCTGTGAGAATAGGATTTAGAAAATATTGGACACCACACTGAGTTCTGCTTAGTGAAAATTTATTAAATTTAATATCACCTTCCTACTTGTAGAAATGGTTCCAGTTTTCTGACTAACATCCTGGAACTAACTTTTGCTTCTTTTCTTCCAACCACATTAACCCAGCTGACAGGTCTTAGAAATTCAACCTATTACCATGTTGCTCCTATTTGTTACCATCTTACCATTTCTACTCCCACCCTTAGAGTTTTTATTTTTCTACTAATTTCATCCCCTACACATATAACAGACATACATGCATACTGTAATGCTTTCCCAATCTCTCCTCCCTCTAAAAGTGGAAAGCCTAAAGTAAAGCTAAAACCACATTCCTTCTCTGCACAACCTTCTGGGCTTTCCACTAAGCCAGAATTCAGAAATATGGAATCGAAAGTCTTATACAATGAGGTCTGAACTAGCTTTCTAATCGCACTGCGGAAACAATGAACCACTATAGTTAACTGTTTGCACACGGATATCCACCTTGTGCCTATAATTTTCTCTATCCTGTCAACCTAGTGAAAATTCCATCCTTTAACATCCACCTTAAACATGTATCTTAATGAAATGAATTATCTTTCTGAATTTCCATTACATATTATATTTCTATAGGTAAAAAGGTATTTTTGTCAACTTCATTGCTAGACAATTTTCTTTATAAGGGTGGTTTCTGTTCGATTACCTTGTATCTGCAGCAGGAAGAACTACAAATTAACTGTAAATGCCTGATGGGAGACCTCGTGCTTCGAGGCTCCCTCCATGTGCTGATTCCTGATTATTGGGGCAGGTCGAGGAATCTCTAAGAATTAGGTTCTTCACCTGAAAAATCAATCTCACACTATTTATGCCTTATCAAGATTATTTCTTAGACTATTAGGTCCATGATAAAATGCAAAATATTTTACTAGGATCACATTCTAAAATGTAGTATCCTTTTTTGTACAAAACTGTGTTCATCATTTAAATCATCTAATAGTACACAGATAAGATCTGTATTATCTGGAGAAAAATAACAGATAAAACTGTATGATGCCTTTCATGTCTCATCAAGTAGACACCTTGGTAAAAGTCAGATGAAAGAATACACTGCACACCTATGTGGTCTCACTGACAACTGAACCTATGAGACTTCTACTTGCTTTTGGTTTATTTTCTGTGGAACACAACGCACAAGCAAGAGGTAAGAAAAAATTCAAAGATTTAATAAAAATAGTTAATATTGTCTCTTTCATGCTATATTGCCCTACATAAATAAGACAAGTAAACCTTTACAAAGTAAACTGCAAGGGACGCTGCTTCCCACTCACAAATTCTTCACTGCAGCAGAGTTCTATTAAAATTCCTAATCCTTAATTTCTAAGAACCAAGTAAGCTTAAATTAGCCTGGCTTCAGCGAGTATGATATATATAGCAATTTTTAAACTTTTAAAGCAGTAATAAAGAGTATTCCTCTGGTATGTGTTATATACCTTAGACTACCTCCTTGAGGAAGAAGTGTATTTGAGGATTTGACCCAAATAAATTATAGCCTCTTGAACAGACTTCTCTCAATTGCTCCTATTATTATTTACATGGTTAACTTCCTACTACATAATACTACATAATACTACATAATACTACATAATTTCCCAAGAGGATATTCCTTCTTAATACTAAAATAATTTTTGCAAGAATGGGCAAAGATAAAGAATCAGATAGTAGTTTACAAGCAAAAAATAAAATCTGAACCTCTAAGACTTTGTGCAACTGGTACAGATATAGATAGAAGGGTATCAAAGATATAATGTATACTATAAAGTGGGTAGAGTGGCCACAGCTAAATGAATGGAGAAAATTCCCATTATGTTATAGTTAAAGAATATTATAAATACAAACTGGCACCAAAATTTGTATTTTTATTTCAGTTGCTGTTTATGCTTGTATCTATAGCTATACTTAACAATTATCTACTCTCTCTACTCCTTAGGTTCTTCCACTCACATTAAAAAAAAAACTTAAAATAATGCTATAAAGCCATTAAAAGCATTATAACTAATTATTTAAATGTAGAAATAATTTTGACACATATTTTGACAAATATTTTGACATAATATTGAGAAAAATATAAAATGATGAATGACACGGTTATGCAAAAATTTGTATGCACACGAGGACTGGAAAGTATTATGCAAAAAATAATACTTCTTGGAAGTAGTGAGGTTGAATCTTTTTTCCTCTTGAAAATTTTCTTTAATGTTGTTATACTGACTTTTCAATTATTAAAAGATTACCATCTGTTTGATGTTCCCTTTTATTGTTCAAATGGCTTTGCTTTTTCTTTAAAGTTTTCTACTTCCTTTAAATAGCAGCTCCCACTGGAGATTGTTCCCACATTCAAGAGCTATTTTTGGGTACAAAGGTTAATGATGGAAGATAAAAATCTGTTCCTTATTTCCTCAAACACTACAGCCATAATCTTAATATTCAATGTCTATGGACATCTACACTTTCTGAAAAACACACAACTCCAGCTGAGCATCTAGTTGTTACTTTCTTTTAAGCCAGTGAAGAGGAAATATTTGCTTGCCACAGGCTCTGTTGCCAAAATATTTTACTTTGATAAGAGAGTAAAATCATCTACTAAACTTCCAAACAAGATGTTCGTGTATATGTACAGCAGAAGTCTCAACAACTCAAAGTTCATTCTGTAGCTGTATATCTAGTAAGTGTGTAATAACTCAGGCATGACTATATATATATATTGAGAAAAATTGGTTTTAAAAGACTAAAGAAACTATGAGGCATAACCATAGCATTCCTACCCTTTAAAATAACCAATATGCTATTTTAATTTAGAATTTAATAATTCAAGGGTACATGCTGCAATTTCCAAGAAAACCAGTGAAGAAACAATAAAAGAATATCTAACAAGTTAATAAAAAAGAAACATTGAATAATATAAGAATACTTAATCCAAAAGAAATGAGAGAAAAGGGGACACAGAACAGGTGGTACCAATGTAAAACGAACAGTAAGATGGTCACCTTCCCTTCAAACACCCTCTTCCAACAACACGAGACAACTCTATGCATGGATGTCACCAGATGGTCAATAGCGAAATCAGATGGATTATATTCTTTGTAGCCAAAGATGGAGAAGCTCTATACAGTCAGCAAAAACAAGATGGGGAGCTGACTATGACTCAGATCATGAACTCTTTATTGCAAAATTCAGACTTAAATTGAAGAAAGTAGGGAAAACCACTAGGCCATTCATATATGACCTAAATCAAATCCATTATGATTATATAGTGGAAGTGACAAATACGTTTAAAGGATCGGATCTGATAGAGTGACTGAAGAATATGGACAGAGTTTCCTAACACTGTACAAGAGGTGGTGATCAAAACCATTCCTAAGAAAAAGAAATGCAACAAAGCAAAATGGTTGTCTAAGGAGGTCTTACAAATAGCTAAGAAAAGAAAAGCAAAAGGCTAAGGAGAAAAGGAAAGATACACCCATCTGAATCCAGAGTTCCAGAGGGGGGATAAGTTCCAAGGAGGGATAAGGCCTTCTTAAGTGAACAATGCAAAGAAATAGAGGAAAATAGAATGAGAAAGACTAGAGATCTCTTCAAAGAAAATATGAGATACCAAAGGAACATTTCATGCAAAGATGGGAACAATAAAGGACAGAAACAGTATGGACCTTATAGAAGCAGAAGAGATATAAGAAGTGGCAAGAATACACTGAAGAACTGTACAAAAAAGGTCTTAATAACTTGGATAACCACAATGGTGTGATTACTCAGCTAGAACCAGACCTCCTAGAGTGTGAAGACAAGTGGGCCTTAGGAAGCATTAATACGAACCAAGCTAGTGGAGGTGACAGAATTCCAGCTGAGCTATTTCAAATTCTAAAAAGTGATGCTGTGAAAGTGCTGCACTCAATATGCCAGCAAAGATGGAAAACTCAGCAGCGGCCACAGGACTGGAAAAACTCAGTTTTCATTCCAATCCCAAAGAAGGGCAATGCCAAAGAATGTTCAAACTACCACACAATTGTACTCATTTCACATGTAAGCAACGTAATACTCAAAATCCTTCAAGCAAGGCTTCAACAGTATGTGAACCAAGAACTTCCAGATGTACAAACTAAATTTAGGAAAGGAAGAGGAACCAGAGATCACATTGCCAACATCTGTTGGATCATAGAAAAAGCAAGAGAGTTCCAGAAAAATGTCTACTTCTGCTTCAATAACAATACAATCTTTACTGTGTGGATCACAACAAACTGTGGAAAATTCTTAAGAGATGGGATACCAGACCACCTTACCGGCCTCCTGAGAAGCCTGTCTGCAGGTTAAGTAGCAACAGTTAGAACTGGACATGGAACAACAGACTGAATCAAAACTGGGAAATGACTATGTCGAGGTTGAATATAGTCACCCTGCTTATTTAACTTATATGCAGAATACATCATGAGAAATGCCGGGCTGAATGAAGCACAAGCGGGAATCAAGATTGCCAGGAGAAATATACAATACCTCAGATATGCAGATTGACTCCATCTTAAGGGCAGAAAGTGACGAGGAACTAAAGATACTCTTGATAAAAGTGAAAGACAAGAGTGAAAAAGCTGGCTTAAAACTCAATATTCAAAAAACTAAAATCATGGCATCCAGTCCCATCACTTCATGCCAAATAGATGGGAAACAATGGAAACAGTGACAGACTTTATTTTCTGTCTCCAAAATCACTATGGATGATGACTATAGCCATGAAATTTAAAGAAACTTGTTCCTTGGAAGAAAAGCTATGACAAACCTAGACAGCATATTAAAAAGCAGAGACATCGCTTTGCCGACAAAGGTCCATATAATCAAAGGTATGTTTTTCCAGTAGTCACATACAGATGTAAGAGTTGGACCATAAACAAAGCTGAGTGCCAGAGAATTCATGCTTTTGAACTGTGGTGTTGGAGAAGACTCTTGAGAGTCCCTTGGACAGCAAGGAGATCAAATCAGTCAATTCTAAAAGAAATAAACTGTAATTTGGAAGAACTGATGCTGAAACTGAAGCTCCAATACTTCAGCCACTTGATGAAAAGAGCCAACTCACTGGAAAAGGCCCTGATGCTGGGAAAGATGGAAGGCAGGAGGAGAAGTGGATGACAGACAATGACATGGTTCGATGGCATCACCAACTCAATGGGCTTGAGTTTGAGCAAACTCCAGAAATAGTGAAGGACAGGGAAAGGAAGCCTGGGGTGCTGCAGTCCACGGGGTCGCAAACAGTTGGACACGACTGAGCGACTGAACAACCACAAATATCAGAAACTACATTAAAGGTTATCCTAGTGGCTCAGTGGTAAAGAAACCCCACGCCAATGCAGGAGACACGGATTTGCCCTTGATCCTGGAAGATTATACATGCTGCAGGACAACTAAGCCCACTTGCAATTACTGAGCCTGTATTCTAGAAACTGCAGCTACTGAGGCCACGTGCCAGAACTACTGAAGTTCTCGTGTCCCAGAGCCTCTATTTCACAAGAAAATCCACTCAAATGAGAAGCTCGTGCACCACAACTAGAGTAGCCCCTGCTAGCTGAGAAGTCTGTGTAGCAACAAAGACCCAGCTCAGCCAAGAAGAAATAAAAAGAAACATTTTTTAAAAAGAAATTACATTAAATATAGACTTGACTTGTAGCTCAACTGGTCAAGAATCTGCCTGCCATGCAGGAGGCCAGGGTTTAATCCTTGTGTTGGGAAGATCCTCTGGAGAAGGAAACGGCAACCCACTCCAGTATTCTTGCCTGGAGAATCCCATGGACAGAGGAGCCTTGCAGGCTCATGGTTCATGGAGTCGCAAGAGTTGGACACGACTTAGAGACTAAACCACCACCACCACCATCAAACAACTCAATTAAGGGACTTCCCTGGTGGTCCAGTGGTCAGGATTCCACACTTGCAAAGCAAGGGGCATGGGATAAATTCCTGGTTGCAGAACTGAGATCCTATGTCTCTCAGCCAAAAACAAAAACAAAAAAAAACATGGGAAAGGGAACAATCAATTATTTTAAAAAACCCCAATTCAAAGATAAAGATTAAATCTACCTATTTAACGAAAACTACCTCTGTGTTTGATCACAAGAGATATGTTAAAGGATATGGAAGACTGAAAATAAAGCATGGAAATAATATGCAAAGCAAACACAAACCAAAAAAAAAAACTGGAATCACTGTAATACTGTTAGATGAAGTAGGATTTAAAGCTAAGAAACTGGATTAAGAAGGAGATTTCTTAATATTAAGAGCATCAATCTACTAGGAAGGCAAAAAAGTCCAACATTTTAAATACACCTAATAATCTCAAATAGACATAAATTCAAAACTGACAACTAAACAGAACCACAAACCCATAATCTTAATAGATTTAAACATACCTTTCTCATAGAATAGTTTAAAAAAAATCAGTAAAGACATGACTGACAGAAACAGCATACAACAAATACGACAATCAACAACAAAAAATTTACATTATTTTCCATCAGACTTTCATCTGAATTGGATAGTCATCTAAATTCAGTCAAAGCAAATTACAAATTAGTGATATTTTATGATACATATTATTTGACCACAATATTAAGCCAAAAAGCAATGACAAATGATAACTTCAGCAACGCAATTCTGAATAACAAACTGCCAAGAGAAACACCATTTAACTTTTAAATACAGAAAACATTTTCTCTAATCCTAAGCCACAGAGAAAAAAACATTTCACATGCAAAGTATTTCTTTGTAAAGAGAATGCACTTTTATTTTTCTCTTTATCATTTTACAGAACTTAATGAAATTCAAGACCAGTTTCTACAAACGAAGATATTTCTAAGTGTGTTCACTAAAGCACACCCACAGAGATCAGATGACGAGTCTGGGGTGGAGGCAAGGAAGATGGATCCCGTTATACCTACCTACCTACTCCAACTTTAAGGGTTCCTTTTTTAGAACGAACAGCAGAGTTTCTCCTAAATTCATAGGTACTTTGAAGGCCAATTATTCCACTGTACCTTCTTCAACTTTTACTTTGTATAAAATGTAGACTATTTAAAACAAATAAGATCCTGGCTCCTTTCAGCTTTAAACAACATTTCTAGCATGGTAAAACCAAACAGGTTGATTTCATATACTGTGATTGAATGATGCAGCATCCTTAAAAGTAACTTTTATATTTTCCGAGAAGTAAAAGAAACAGAATGTATAATTACGTCAACAATACTTTGTAAAGAAAAGCTGTGCCCTCTGAAAGAAAATTCCAGTCTATAACAGCTTAATTATTTTCTACTCATTTTTTTCAAAATTGTAAATTCACATTATACAGATTTAGTAAAAAAGTTAGTTTTGATAAAACAGTATCATGATATATGTAAGGAGACAAGCCAAGTACTAATAAAGCTGGGATATATCATATATTTCACAAATGTATGGTTATTTTCTACAGGATCATTTGGTTAGCAGACATTTAGTGCTATCTAAAAAGTAAGACATTTTGTTCATGCCAAAAGGTCCTTGAAACCTGAGCAAATCCGGTCCCTGACAAATAATTTTGGACAGGGCCAAATATCAGGAATCTTTTGGTGTGGACCAAATGTCTTACAGATGTTTTGGACAGGACCAAATGTCCATTATGCATTTCTTCAACACAATATTTATTTAATAACCTAAATGCTGGGTCAAAAGAAGAAAATAAGACAGTCTTTGTTTTCCATGAGACTGAAATGCTAAAGAGACTGACTATAAACATGTCCAAACGATTCTATAATTCAGATAATAATAGTGCTATGAGGGAAAGAGTGGTGGGAGGACTGGATAGTACTGTGAAGCTGGCTAATTTAGACAGTGTTATGAGAAAAGGTCTGTCAGGATCAGAATGATAGGAAAGAGGACCATGAAAGTGTACTGAGACAAGACTGAGTATACTTGAAATACAGCAAGAAGAGGGGTCAAATGTGTCATAAGCATTTTATTTTACAAAGCACTGTGTACTCTTCCTTAACATCTATATCTCAAGGAACTATCAACATTTCCCCTCCCTGAGATCTTACCTGGTCGAATTGTACTATCTCTTCCAAACAGATGAAGGCGTCTTCTACCAAGACAAAAATGTTCAATTATATGAAAAATTTCTACAGGCTTTTCTATATTGCCAATTTCAGGTTCTTCTGTGATAATCAAGTCAATGTCAACATTAGCATGAATGAAGTCCCCATCTGTGCTACGCTTAACAGTTCCTTTGATCCCCATAAGGCAGTGTTCCTAAGTAACAATAAAAACAGGCCAATTAATCTCTTTTCATAAACAGTCATATTGCACAACATTTTACATTTCAAATTCCAAAACAATACTCATTTCTCTGAATCTTTGGGATATAGTTCTATGGGCAAAAACACAATAGGAAAAACCTGGATCTCTGGACCTCCGAAGATTGGCAGGGAAGCTAGACATTAAACTCAGGGCCATCACATTTTAGATAACTGAGTCAATGACTGTGGGATCTTTTCTTCTGCAACTCCTGATAGTAACTTGTTTCCAGAAGTTATGGAAACATGGGACTTGACTTCAGAATCTGATGTTATATTGGGCCTTGCATGATCCAAGAGCAAATCTATACACAAGGTATAAGCCTTTTCAAATGGAGAGAAGACTTTAAGCAAGGATACAAACTTAAAATACTCAACATACATAAATGTGAAAGTCAAATAATTTCCTTTTTTGTTGTTTATTGTTTGACCTCTATTTAATCTGGACAACAGGGTATGGTTTAAATAAATTTAGTCTCACTTGACTTCATGAACCAATGGATGGCTTGGATTCCCTTCAAAAAGAATTTCTAGCCCAAGAAAGACTTCAAAAAGACCCTCCCCCTGAAGCTCCCAAAGGAGTGAAAGACTGGAGGACAAACTGTTAAACCCTGATAACTAGGAGGGCAGTCCCACGAATCAGAGGTTCTCAGGGGTTCTTGTTCAGGTTCTTATGCAGAAAAAAGAAGGGAAAGTGAAAGTTGCTCTGTCCATGGAATTCTCCAGGCCAAAATACTGGAGTGGGTAGCCTTTCCCTTCTCCAGGGGATCTTCCCAACTCAGGGATCGAACTAGGGTCTCTGGCATTGCGGACGGATTCTTTACCAGCTGAGCCACCAGAGAAGCCAAGTATACTAGACTGGGTAGCCTATCCCTTCTCCAGGGGATCTCCCCAACCCAGGAATCAAACTGGGGTCTCCTGCATTGCAGGTGGATTGTCTACCAACCAAGCTATCAGGGAAGCCCAGAAAAAAGGGAAGAGCAGAGAAATATTCATCTCAGCTGGCCAGCTATTGAGTCTTGCTGCCATTTCTTTTTTCTGAGTCTAGAGAAAGGAAAAAATATGGGGGTCAGAAGTACCAAAAGCCCATATCTGACTGAGAATTACAGTAGTATAGGATATACAGGAATACATATTACCTTCTCCAGCACAGCACAGGCTTCTCTGAGTGAATAAAATTTTTAAAATGAACTTGGCTTTGTTACTTTAATGCTCAATGCTATCTGTGCAAGTCTGAGAGAACCCTTCCACCAAAATGAATTGAACAGCATGGAGTCATCTGGAAAAGCTTGAGAGAAAATAATTAAAATATAGAAAAGAAAACAGTAAAGACAATACCTTTGTTCTCTGGAAGACGGCCTTTGGATCTAAAGTCTTAGTCTTTCCAGGATTGTTTTTATTGGTTTTGATCCAACAAATATCTTCACATCTTCTGTAACCCCACTTGCGTAAACACTAGAAATAAGAGAATTTTTTTAAAATCCTTAGCTAAAAGAAATAAACAATACTTAACCAACTAACATTAAAAACTTCCTAGAGGTTTGAGACACTAAATTCCAAGATGGCATAGTAATTTTGTATTACTATAGAAACAGAAAAAAAGAAATACTTGTCTTTAAATATACAGCCATTATAAAAACATATAATATCAAAACATGGAAAAGACTATATAATACTCCAATTCTTTATACTACCTTCCACTGTCATCAATAGAAAGTGAGCTTTAAACAAGAGAACAATCAGCCCATATTAAATCAAAAAATAATTCAAAAGGTAACTGTTCTTGCCACCTCAATTTTCTATCCTGTGATAAAGCTAAAAACCTTTGAGAAGTTCTAAACAGTAACTTCCTTTCAAATGAGTCTTGTAAAATGTTATTTTTATATATTTAATACTAAACCTCAAAAATCCAAAGACTTAAATTGTCTGTATATTTCTTTATAGGATAAAACTTTACTTTCAGCTTTATATAACCTAGACAATAGAGAGTTTTGAATCTTGGTGTCTCAGAATCCGTCATATATGAACATATAACAAGTACCAGCTAAGTGAGTACCCAGAGTAGCATTTTGAGCCCTATCATATGTAGATGTTGGCTAGCTGCTGGGATTAAAAACCTGAGTAGGATACAGTCCTTACCCCTAACTGATTAAGAACAAAGTAGGAGGAATTAAGTGAATTGTGCAGTGCAATGCTGCTGGCACTATGATCAAGTACAAATAAAGACACAGTGGAGCATAAAACATATGTACTTTTCACTGTATAAACTGAAATACACCTCAAAATGGAACTTAGATTTTTAACTTAAAATCTCAAAAATCACAATCACTATCTGTTCCTGTTGTCAAATATTTGTTTAGCACTGGATATTCATGAAGTATCACAAGGGCCTAAATCCAACATGCCCTAATCAACTTACCACAAGTTCATGAGTATTTCTCATGCTGTATTATTTTTGTAATTAATTGGGGCCAAAATCTGCTTTCACTAGTATGATAAACTGCTGCATAAACAAGTAAGATAAAGCCTCCTTATCAATTTCAAGCTAATTTGAGGGGTAGGAGAAAAGCCCAAAGCTAGACATTTGATCTAACAAGGGTAATATACCTATAAAATATACCAATATACCCATAAAAACATACGGTGTGTTTCTATTTTCTTAAGATTTTTTTTTACAGCATCTTAGTGAGATGCCAGCAATAAAACAGATTCCCAGTATACAGTTATAGTCTTACCATGGAGTTAATAAATGATGGAAGCAATGATGTGATCCAACAATCTCAAACTTGCTATTTATACAAAAAATACAAAGCAACTGCAGAATTTCAGGATTTGAGCACAAATTTATCTCAATATAATCCTACTTAAATTCTTCACCTGTCAAATGGACACCTCCTAAAATTACCAGGATTAAATGAGATCTTGGTAGTATATCAAGTATTAATAATATATCCTAAAAATGTAAACATTATCCCATAACAAGTGAGGAAACTGAAGCACACAAGAGTAAATACCTCTTTACCCAAAGTTTCACAGCTGGACAGCAGATCTGAGACCAAAACTAGCCACAAAGCTACCAGTATTAAAAAGAAAAAGCTTTCATTATTTGGTTTCCATTTAGAAATTCAAAATACTCCAACCAAAAAAACAAAGAAAGTTCTGAATACAATAAACATAAGGTACCTAAAATAAACTGAGATGATAAACTTCTTTCTCACTCTCACTCATCCCTTCAAACTATGTGTTCTAGATGCTGTGTTATTTATCCAACTTGATTCGGCTTCCACTTGGAATTCATGAGTTAAGGCTACTCAGAAGAATACATTTTAGCTACTAATAATGGACAGTATACAACAGTAAGCCTCCTGTTTTTGAGCAGAAATTCAATTTCAAATCTCTAAACTGTTCTCTTCTTGCAGTTGTAGTAAATTGTAGTTTGATTTTTTTATCCTAAAAGCTAGTTAACTGACTAAGGGGTACTGTCTTTTACATATTCTTTTTATTTTTTTTAATTTTTAAAATTTTTTACATATTCTTTTTAAAATAGTTTTCTTTCTGAATATTTGAGTACTATGTAAGAAATGAAGAACAACAACATTAATCTTCAAATTTCTTACACAACATACTGTTACTTGTTTCTTATGAATTTTTAAAAAACACTTAAAAAAAAAAACCATCTTACCACCCTTCCAAGGTCCAATCCTTCCCCAGAACCACACCAGAGAAAAATAAATGATCGAGGTGCTGCAATCTCATCAATTTCTAACTTCATAATCTGGAAGAAACCAAAACAGTATTGCATAGAAGTATCTTGTTTCCCACTCATTCTAAATCCAAAAGAACAAGCACTGAGATTTATCGGACTTATAGTGTATGTTTATGTATTTATAATATATGCTTCCCCGGTGGCTCAGATGGTAAAATGTCTGCCTGCAATGTGGGAGACCCGGGTTCGATCCCTGGGTCAGGAAGATCCCCTGGAGAAGGAAATGGCAACCCACTCCAGTACCCTTGCCTGGAAAATCCCATGGATGGAGGAGCCTGGTAGGCTACAGTCCACGGGGTCGTAAAGAGTCGGACACGACTGAACGACTTCACTTTCCTTTTCACTTATAGTTTATGTGCTCTTTAAATGTACTAATTTTCATTAGAAAATACAATGGAAAAAAAATTTTATCCTTAAAGCTTGTTCTTATGGGTTTTTTCCTGTATTAATACAACACAGATGAACACATGCACATACATACACTTGATTTTATATGAAAAGTTTATAGAAAACCATATCTATAGAATTATGGAATTTTATAAGGTATAGCTTTAGAGCAACCTGTTACCTCTTACAGAAAAATAACCTGAAAAGAAAAAGGATTAAATTACCCCAAAGTTAGGGGCAAACTTAAAGTAAAACATAACTACAAATGTTTGTGGAGGACATGGTTTCCAGTAGAACAGTTCTAAATAAAATAAATCAATATACATATTTCATTGTAATGATCACTTTAGGTCTGAAACGTTAAAAAAAAATGGGCTATAATTGTTGGCTTTGTATTTGTTGAGTATGTCAATTAAAAAAAAAAGAAAAGTTCTTTAATAACTAAATCTCTAAATTTGGGGACTACCATAAATGTGTGTAAATGACTACAAAAGCAATCATTTTATATGGTATTCTTATTCTACTGCTTCCTATTACAGCTAACAAGTTTCACAGACCATAGCTCAAGCTAATACTTATTAGTTAGATGTATTTAGAAAAGTTTAACTTAGAAAAAAAATTTTTTCCTTTATTTTTTTCTTTGACCACACCTCACGGGCGTGTGGAACTTTCCCAACCAAGGATGGAACCCACATTCCCCACAGAGGAAGTACAGAGTCCTAACCACTGGACTACAAGGGAAGTTCCTTAACTTTTACCTGAATGCATCATAATCACATCACCTATAACTTATCTAAGTAAAAGAAACATCATTTGAGGGTGATAGTGAAAATAAATTACAATAGGCATAAACCTATTCAGTTTTACACTTCCAACTTTGTCTTGATATAACGCCTGATCTAATATTCTCATAAGAATATGAATAAACATTAATATGTACACACACATATATTCCTACACACATTCTTACACACATTTTATACATGGCATAGCTAAGGTAAGTGATGGCACACAGTGAAGAACATTAAGCAAATAACTCTTGATGTTACAATTATAAATATTAAATATTGGTATTTTAAGTAAGTGCTTATATTCTTAATTAAAACACACTGACCTCTACTGACTTTAACATGAAAAAGAATATGTGAGAAACTCAAACACTTTTTTTATTTATATTTAGTTATTGGCACTTTCTTTAGGTCATTACTACATAAAGGTTAAGAGCCTAGAGTTCTTAGGGCTCCAGACAAACTTTTCAATATGCATATAAAATGGAATTTCTTTATTTCAAAAACTCTATTAGTTTATCATATAAAATTTAAACTCTTGGATTTCACTGACCAAATCTTAGAGATGGGCCAGAGAAAATAAAGTTCAACCTAACTACTAATCATACACATAATAAGATTAATTTTTCAAGTTTCTTTGGCCTAAATTGAAAAAAGATTATTTTCTGTATCAATTTTAATGAGGAAAAACAGATATTTCTTAAACACTATCAGAACAAATATTAATTTGTGCAATCTATCTGGAAAACCTCTCAGCCCTAAATATCAACAGCACTACATCTTTAACCTTAAATTTTGGGGATACTATATATTTCTGTGTTTCAACAATAAACACAGATTATACTTATCAGAGGACAGGAAAAACTTGTAAAATAAAAATGTAAATAAATGTGACAGAGGTATTGAAGCTAATAAGAAAAGTTTCAAGGAAGAAAAACTGAAATTATATCTTGAAGAGTAAGGAATACTAATAATAGTAATGGCTATTAACTCAGAAGGGGATATGTAAGGATTCAAAGCAACTTCCTGTGAAATAGCAGTTTACAGAGTTTCCGTCCACTGCTTTCCCTACCTCTCTTCTGTGTTCAACGCTTTTGATCACATGTTCCTCAATTAGGGAAGCTCTCTATTTCCCTGGCTTCCATGACATTCAAACTGTCTTGATTCACCTCATTCATCTGTGACCCATTCTTTTCACATCTTTTCTATTTGCCTCTTAAATATAAGTTTCCTGAGGCTTTACTGTAAATTCACATTGTATCCTAATTGAGATACTATCTGAAATGAATATACATTCATTTATTCTCATAGGTTTAATATGCTAACCCTTTAAAATCTGTCTTTTGAGATGGCCAGATCTTTCTGTTACGTTGCATACTCCTATTACCTTCACTTGAATGTCTCTCATACACCTCTAATCAACATATTCAGCATAATCGTAATCCCTCTAACTCTGCTCCTCTCCTTAAACTGACTTTCAGTTGGTGATATGAACGCACTTATCCCAAGACTCAAACTTCCAAGCATCCTTACCTCTTTCCCTCATCCCAATCACTAGATCTCACCAGAAATACCTACAAAACATTTCTGAATTTATCACCTTTCTATCCTTACTACCATTACCCTAATTCAGGGATCCTTTATCTTCTAACCAGACTACTCCAACAGTCTTGCTACCTGCTCTTCCCTCTCCAGTCTTCATTTTCTCTGGACCATCCTTCTCCACACACTAATTAGACCATTTTACTAAACTAGTTAAAGTCCTTCAAAGATTCCTTAATGCCTTCACGATACAAGTCCGTTTCTAAGAGAGCATCTCGAGACAGTTTCCATCTGTGTTTCAACACAATCAACATACATACAGACCTCCATTCTCATCTCTTTGCCTCCTGCTCTTGCTGTTTCTTCAGCTTGCCCATTCTCAGCGGCTAATTCTAGCTAATCTGTACACGCATCACCTCCTCTTTATGTCCCCCAGCTTCCTCAACTTGGTCAGGTTTTTGTTCAGATCACCTTATGCAGTCCTCTATTATTAAACTAACAAAATGATACTGCAATTATGTTTAGGTCACTGCTTATCCCATTCAACTCTGTGCTCCTTAAGGCCAAATACTAAGTCTCATTCATCTTTGAATCTCCAGTACCTAGTTGCCTAGTACAGAGTGGTACTCAATAAATATATATTTGCTATTTTTGTTACTGACCATTAAAAATAGATTACTTTATGTAACTCACTGAAGCTATCCGTTTGTTTACTTTTATTTAGGAAAACAGAACTTTAGTGCAACTATATAAGACTGAGATTATATATTTTTTAAATCTATTATACTGTAAGTTCTTTAAAGAGTAAAAATTATGCTAATATATATGTGTGTGTGAATACTCTTGATATTCACTGAAACTAACCAAATACAGAAAGCTATCAACCATTCAATCTGTTTTTAGACTTACTTCTAGCTATACATCCAAGGACTCTTAAGATTGGAATTTTAAGGCTTCTGCAGACAACTTACTTATTCCCTGCTAAACTTCTGCATCAAAAAGAAAGACCAAAGATATTATAATGTTTGTTACTGCACCTTAGATCTTCAGCCATAATATATACTATAAATCTATATTTATAATTCCTAAAACAGTATTTATAATATTACTCTCTGATCAAATAAAGATATATTCATTTGAAAAATAAATAATTCATTACAATGTAGAAAGTTTCATCATACATCATCCCAAGTCCAGCATTTTTCATTAGCAGTGATGCCGGTCTCTCTGTAATATTCTTCTAAAGGTGGTTCAAGAAGAATCACATCAAATTTGGGTGTCAGTTCTCTGATGTCAAAGGCTTCTATATCTGCTTGTAAGTACCTATTTGATTAAAGCATAAAAAGTAAGAGATTACAGATGGTAATGAAAAAAAGTTTCTTAAATATTTCCTAATACTATTTCAAAGTCATCATGAGCTAATAACTAAATACCTTTTTATGGAGGAATCTCTCTCCTCAGTATAGACAGTAAAACTATCTATCACTGTTCTTCCTGAAGACATGGATAGAATCATACTGCAAAGCAAAACCATGATTCCACAGGAATATCCTGAGTATAAACCTCTCTCATTTTTTATACTGAAAATCCATACTTAGATGTGAGTGTCTGAGTTCTTTTTCATTATCATCATAATACTTCGAGGAATATCACATTACTTTTCCTGCAATTGTCCTTTAGAAAAATTGTTTTGTTTTAAATTCCTCCATCTAAAAAAGTTTCTAAAGATAGACATAATTTTCTTTTGCTAGTTTGTTTGTTAGCAATAGTGTTTATATTAACAGTCCTTTCCAGCCACTTAGTATAAATTACTACTAGCCTATATTTAATGGTTATTTCTACACAGTACAAAGGTATTTCAAATATAAATATAAAACACTCCCCGGTGGCTCAGTGGTTAAGAATTCGCCTGCAATGCGGAAGACCCAGGTTCAATCCCTGGGCCGGGAAGATCCCCTGGAGGAGGGAATGGCAACCCACTCCAGTGTTCTTACCCACATAATCCCATAGACAGAGGAGCCTGGAGGGCTACAGTTCATAGGGTTGCAAAGAGTTGGACACAACTGAAGCAACTGAGCATGCATGCATGCATAAGATACTTTAAATGTAAAATATTTCTAAATATGATATTATCCTGTTAAAATTTTTTTCACAAACTCGGTCATCTCTGTGGTTTTTCTAATAATTAATAGCATACATTTCAGCAAACTGTTAAATGTACAAAATGTTCAAAGTAAGCTAAAGAGTCTCCAATTTTAAGGATTATACACATTTTTTGAAGGAAACATTATTCTGTTAGCAAAGGTTAAAATGAATTTTTGTATTCCAAAATGTTAAGAATAGTATCCCTAGATGCCAAGTTATAACTGAACTTTCATTTTCTTATCTTCTCTCAAGTTTTCTAATTTTCTTCAGGAAGTAATTTTTGAGAAGAAAATATATTTAAAAACATTTAAAGATAGTTAAGAATACAACAAATAAGATTTTCTAAGAAAAAATACTTAAAGACACTCTAAATTATCTAGTAAACTGAAAACAAATAAAATGACAACCTACTGTGTACTCAGTACCAGAGTTTCAAACTAATACATTTCACTATTAAAGAAAAAAGAGTGTGTTAACCTTTCAAAGGTGCTAAATTTTTTTCAAACTTCAGAAAGGTTACATTACAAAAAGACTAATATTTTAAGCCTGAGTTGGGAACAAAAACTCCACTTACATAGGAGGAGTGTTGGATTTAGCTATTAACTCATCCTTCAGTCTGATGAGCTCCCGCAGTTTAGGGTATTCTTCAAATCTGTCGGCCAAACCTGGGAAGGAAAAACAGTAAATTCCAAATTTCAATACAATTAAGTATCAGTGAATTCAAAGGTGATGAGCCTGCTCAGGAAAACAAAACAAGACACAACCAACTTATCCTTCTCACATTCTTTGTTAAAAAAAAAAGTTAGTTCTGAGTATTTTTTAAATACTTCATATACACATTTTATACCTAATGACCCTAATTTCACATGTAGGCAAACACCCAGGGGTTTTAAAGGCCAGATGGTTTAAGTCAATTAACCATTTAATTTTTCAAACTCATTAAATAATCTGCTTAAAGTATCAAGTTTAGACATTCTGTTCTCAGGAAAAGAAATTTTTTTTTTTAATTCATGCTTTTTTTTCTTTTGCTAAAAAACAACAACAACAACAAAAAACAACTCTCCCAAAGATCTAGTGACTGTTCAGTTTTCCCTTAGTTTGACAGTTATCCAAAGCAGAGAAAATGAAGATTTGTTATCCTTACTACTGACGATCTTAAATGGCTTAAATTATGGACACAATCCCAGAACAAATCTAGGCAGGAAGATAATGAGTCCCTATTAATCAATTAGCTTTCACCTCACTCACTCTGATTACTTATCTAAATTGTACTCTACCAAGTCCAAGACAAGTCATCTTCTGTAAGAACATATCCTATATCAGTATTTATAGTTTTAAAGATCTCACATCTTCACATACTATAAACCAAATCCTCATATATATTTTCAAGCTTAGGATCTTCAAAAACACCTCCAAGTCCCAGAAAGGTTAAAAGCAGGAGCCTCATTGTTTCCATGTCCTCAAAAATATTTAAATCTTTGAACCTCAGAAGAGATTGTAGGTAAAACAGCATAATGCCTGTTTAAACAACTGTAAGGGTAAGTAGGGCCTTGAATATCAAAGATTCCTAAACTTTATTTTACTTTATCCTTCTGCCTGACAAGAATCATAATCATCTTAAGTTAAAAACCAAAAGTACATTTTCACAACCCTAATATCAAACATTAAAAAAATGAAAGATTTTGTAAAGAGTGCTTAATCAGTGGTTATAGATCAAATTTCAAATGAAGCAAGTTTGAAGATTTTATTATATTCGGGTTTCAATCACAGTAGAGTCAGCTCTCAATCACCTACAAAACAGAGGTACAACTTTTTCTCAATCCATAATAGTTTCCTATGTACATTTTCTTTGCCTCAGAGAAATAAACGTCTTAAAAGCAGAAAGGCCAATAATGAAATCTGGCTATATTACTTATAACCTTAAAAAAAGCTTTACTGAAGTATAATTGATAAATAAAAACCTTATAAACTTATATTTAATGGATGCAATCTGATGAGTTTTAACAATATGCACATAACTGTGAAACCATAACCACAATCAAGGTAAGGCATATTAATAACCTTCAGAAGTTTGTGTTCCTCCAGTTTTGGCATAAGTATGTGCAGTAAGACCCCTTCATGGATCACTGCCTTGCCACAGCGAATGGGCTTGCATAACTCAATGAAGCTATGAGCCATGCTGTGAAGGTCCTCCCAAGACAGACGGGTCATAGTGGAGGGTTTGGACAAAACGCGACCCACTGGAGGAGAGAATGGCAAACCACTCCAGTATACAAGCCTTGAGAACTCCATGAACTGTATAAAAAGGCAAAAAGATGTGACACTGAAAGATGAGCCGCTCAGGTTGGAAGGTGCCCAATATGCTACTGGGGAAGAGCGGAGTACAACTACGAATAGCTCCAGAAAGAATGAAGCGGCTGGGCCAAAGCAGAAACAACACTCAGTTGTGGATGTGTCTGGTGATGTGAGTAAAATCGGGTGTTTTAAAGAGTAACACTGCATAGGAACCTGGAATGTCAGATTCATGAATCAAGGTACACTGGACATGGTCAAGCAGGAGATGACAAGAGTAAACATTGACATCTTAGGAATCCATGAACTAAAATGAATGGGAATGGGTGAAATTAATTCAGATGATCATTGGACTTACTACTGTGGACAAGAATCCCCAAGGGAAGCAATCTAGATGTCCATCGACAGATGAATGGATAAAGAATTTGTGCTACATATGCACAATGGAATATTACTCAGCCATAAAAAGGAATGCATTTGAGTCAGTTCTGATGAGATGGATGAATGTAGACACTATTATACAGAGTGAAGTGAGTCAGAAAGAGAAAGATAAATATTGTATTCTAACACAGAATCTGGAAAAATGGTACTGAAGAATTTACTTACAGGGCAGCAATGGAGAAACAGACAGAGAAGTCTTATGGACATGGTGGGAGGGGAGGAGAGGGTAAGATGTATGGAGAGAGTAACATGGAAACTTACATTACCGTATGTAAAATAGAGAGCCAAGGGGAATTTGCTGTATGGCTAAGCAAACTCAAACTGGGGCTCTGTATTAACCTAGAGGGATGTGATTGGGAGGGAGATGGGAGGGAGGCTCAAAAGGGAGGGGACATGTGTATACCTATGGCTGATTTATATTGAGGTTTGAGAGGAAACAACAAAATTCTGTAAAGCAATTATCCTTCAATTAAAAAAAAAAAAAGAATCCCTTAGAAGAAATGGAGTAATCTTTATAATCAACAAAAGAGCCTGAAATGCAGTACTTGGGTGCAACCTTAAAAACAACAAAATGATTTGAGTTCGTTTTCAAGGCAAACTATTCTACATCACAGTAATGCAGTCTATGCCCCAACCACCAATGCTGAAGAAGCTAATCAGTTCTATGAAGACCTAGAAGTCTTCTAGAACACCAAAAAAAGATGTCCTGTTCATCACAAAGAAAGCCGAGTGCCAAAGAATTGATGCTTCTGAACTGTGGTGTTGGAGAAGACTCTTGAGAGTCCCCTGGACTGCAAGGAGGTCAAAACAATCAATCCTAAAGGAAATCAGTCCTGAATATTCATTGGGAGGACTGATGCTGAAGCTGAAACTTCAATACTTTGGCCACATGTTGTGAAGAACTGACTCATTTGAAAAGACCCTGATGCTGGAAAGATTGAAGGTGGGAGGAGAAGGGGATGACAGGGGATAAGATGGTTGGATGGCATCACTGACTAAATGGACAAAAGTTTGATCAAGCTCGGGGAGTTGGCAAAGGACAGGGGAGCTTGGCATGCTGCAATTCATGGGGTTGCAAACAGTCAGACATGACTGAGTGACTAAACTGAACTGATTCATCATAAGGGACTGGAATGCAAAGTAGGAACTCAAGAGATACTTGGAATAACAGGCAAGTTTGGCCTTGGAGTACAAAATGAAGCAGGGCAATGGTTGACAGAATTTTGCCAAGAAAATACACTTGTCAGAGCAAACACCCTTTTATAACAACACAAGAGATGACTTTACACATGGACATCACCAAATGGTCACTAATGAAATCAGATCGATTATATTCTTCATAGCTGAAAACAGAGAAACTGTAGAGAGTCAACAAAAACAAGACCTGGAGCTGACTGTGGCTCAGATCATCAGCTCCTCATAGCAAAATTCAAGCCTAAAATAAAGAAAGTGGGGACAACTACTAGGCCAGTCAGGTAAGACTCAAATCAAATTCTCTATGAATATCAGCGGAGGTGACAAACACTCAAATGATTAGATCCAGTGAGCAGAGGGCCTGGAGAACTATGGACAGAGGTCTGTAACACTGTACATGAGTCAGCAAACAGCACCCCAGTGAAGAAAACACAAGAAGGCACGTGGCTGCCTAAGGAGGATTTACAAACAGCTGAACAAAGGAGAGGAGCAAAGAGAATGGGCGAAATGGAAAGGTTCACCCAACTAAATGCAGAGTTCCAGAAAACAGCAAGACCAGAAGGTCTTCTTCAATGAACAGTACAGAGAAATAGAGGACAACAACAGAAAGCCCAAGGCTAGAGATCTCTTCAAGAAAACTGGAAATACCAAAGGAACATTTCATCCAAAGGTGGGCACAATAAAGGACAGAAACAGTAAAGACCTAATTGAAGCAGAAAAGATCAAGAAAAGATGGAAAAAATACACAGAAGAATTGTACAAAAAAGATCTTAATGACCTGGATAACCACGATGGTGTAGTCTCTCATTCAAAGTCGGACATCCTGGAATGTGAAGTCAAGTGGGTGTTAGGAAGCACTGCTGCCAATAAAGCTAGTGGAGGTGATGAAATTCCAGCAGAGCTATTTAAAATTCTAAAAGATGATGTTATTAAAGCACTGAACTCAATAAGTCAGCAAATTTGGAGAATCCAGCAGTGATCACAGGACTGGAAAAGATCAATCCTCATCGTAACTCCCAAGAAGGTCAGTACTAAAGAACGTTCAAACCAACGGACAACTGCACTCATCTCCCATGCTAGTAAGGTTATGTTCAAAATCCTCCAAGGCAGGCTTCAGCACTACGTGAACCAAGAACTTCCAGAAGTTCAACAAGCAAGCTGCATTCAGAAAAGGCAGAGGAATCAGAGATCACATTGCCAACCTTCACTGAATCACAGAGCAAGCAAGGGATTGAGAAAGGAGTAGGACAAGGCTGGTATTGTCAACCCTGTTTATTTAACTTATATACAAAGTACACCACTGGAAATACTAGGCTGGATGAGTTACAAGCTGGAATCAAGATTGCCAGGAGAAATATCAACAACTTCAGATATGCAGATGATACCATTCTAATGGCAGAGCATGAAAAGGAACTAAAGAGCCTCTTGATGAGGGTGAAAGAGGAGAGTGAAAAAGCTGGCTTAAAACTTAATATTAAAAAAACCAAGCTCATGACATCTGTTCCCATCACTTCAGGGCAAAGAGAAGGGGGGAAAGGGGAAAGCAGTGACAAATTTTCTCTTCTTGGGCTTTAAAATGACCACGGATGGTGACTACAGCTATAAAATTAGAAGACAACTGCTTCTTGGCAGGGAAGGAAGATGACGGCTTCTTGGCAGGAAAGCTACAGCAAACCTAGACAGTGTGTTAAAAAGCAAAGACATCACTTGGTCAACAAAGGTCCACATAGTCAATCAA